TGGCATCTCTTTCTCTTGACATTTTCGTACCTTGCTAACAAAATCCATCCTGTGCACAACGAAACTTGCAAAAAAAAAACCTGCACCACAAAACTTGCACAAAGTACTTTCCAGCACTACTTCGTACGACAAAGGTTCCACAAACACTTCCCAGTACTTCGTACTACAAAGCTTGCACAAGCACTTCTCGGTACTACTTTGTACTGCAAGACTTGCACAGGGTACAATCCAGTGCGGCTCCGTACGACACAGCTTGCACAAACTCCTTCTCAGTGCTACTTTGTACTACTAAGCTTGCACATCGTACTTCCCAGTACTGCTTCGTACTACAAGACTTGCACAAAGTACTTCCCGGTCCCAGTACTACTTCGTACGACAAAATTTGCGCAAAGTACTTCCCAGTACTACTTCGTACTTCAACGCTGGCACAAAGTACTTCCCAGTACTACTTCGTACGACAAAACTTGCGCAAAGTGCTTCCCAGTACTACTTTGTACTACACGACTTGCACAAAATACTTCCCAGTTCTACTTCGTACTACAAAATACTTCCCAGTACTACTTCGTACTAAAAAGCTTGCACAGCCTACTTCCCAGTACCAATAGTACCGCACAAGGCGGTGGCGGAAGTTTCCAAAGATAGGGCACTATAGGAGAGGTGAGTTGCTGCGATGCATGGATGGCAAAGGGAATCCACTGATGGACCATGATGGACCGACAGGTGGTTGGAGTCGTGCTTTTTGGAGTGGTTGCAATGGTCACCTCAACCACAACTGCTGGATGCAGCGTGGTGTAGCGTAGCGCAATGTGATTGTAGATATTGCAGCTGCAGCTGTAGTTGTACCGCATTGTAGTTTTAGCTGTAGCTGTAGCTGTAGCTGATGTTGTTGTTGCTGTTGTTGTTGTTGTTGCTGTAGTCGCTGTAGTCGCTGTAGTAGCCGTAGCACTGATAATAGTAGTTGTTATTGTTTAGTGTAGTGGTAGTGCAGTGTAGTGCGGTGAAGTGGAGTGGGTTGCAGTGTAGCGAGCTGTAGTTGTAATTGTAGCTGTTGTTGTTGTTGCTACAACTGTAGTTGTAGCTGTAGCTGCATCGCTGTTGTAGTTGCAACGTTGTAGTTGCAATGTTGTAGGTAGCTTCGTAGTAGCTGAATTACTTGTAGTAGTTGTTGTAGTCGTAGTTGTAGTTGTCGCTGTAGTGTAGTGTAGTGGTAGTGTGGTGTGGTGTGATGAAGTCGAGTGTAGTGTAGTGACTTGTAGTTGTAGTTGTAGTTGCAGTTTTAGTTGTACTTGCAGTTGTAGTTGTAGTTGCTGTTGTAGTTGTAGTTGTAGTGTAGTGGTGTGTAGTGTGTAGCGTGCTGAAGTGTGGTGTAGCGAAGTCTAGTACTTGTAGTGTTAGCTGTGGCTGCGGTTGATGTATTTGTTGCTGTTGCCGTTGTTGTTGTTTTAGTTGCTTTTACTGTCTTAATTATTTTAGTTGTTTTAGTTGTAGTTTTAGCTGTAGTTGTAGTTGTTGTTGTTGCTGCTGCTGCTGCTGGTGCTGTTGCTGTTGCTGTTGCTGTTGTTGTTGTTGTTGTTGTTGTTGTGTAGTGGTAGCGGTATTGGCTGTGTAATGTAGTAAAGTGGAGCGAAGTATAGCGTAGTGGAGTAGTAGCAGTTGTTGTTGTAGTCGTTGTTGTATGTTGTTGTAGTTGTTGTTGTAGTTGTAGTTCTAATAGTTGTAGTTGTAGTTGTAGTTGTAGTAGCTGTAGTTGTAGTAGTTGTAGCTGTAGCTGTAGTAGTTGTAGCTGTAAGTTGTAGTTGTATGTAGCTGTAGTTGTAGCTGTGATTGTGGTTGTGGTTGTGGTCGTTGTGGTCATTGTGGTCGTTGTGGTCGTTGTGGTCGTTGTGGTCGTTGTGGTCACTGTGGTTGTGTGGTCGTGGTGGTCGTTGTGGTGGTTGTGGTGGTTGTGGTCGTTGTGGTCGTTGTGGTCGTTGTGGTCGTTGTGGTCGTTCCCCAGATGGCCCCGCCGCCTTAGCGAGCCTACTTTTCGGAGCAACGAGACATTGGAAACACACAGTGTTTCGCGACTGTTTTACCTTTTCGCGCGCCTGCATCTTCTTTCTTCTGACTCTTTCTCTTCTCTGACCTTCTTTTCTTCTAAGATTCGTCCATCCTTTGCTTTTTCATCCATCCATAAAGTCAGATGTTTGACTTCTTAACTTCTTTCGCCTCCTTCGTACCACAAACCTTGCACAAAGTACTTCCGAGCACTACTTCGTACGAAGAGGCTTGCGCAAATAACTTTACCAGTACTAAGTACTACTTCGTACTACAAAGCTTGCACAAAGTACTTCCCAGTGCTACTTTGTACTGCTAAGCTTGCACAAAACACTTCTCGGCACTACTTCGTACTACAATGCTTGCCCACCGTACTTCACGGTACTACTGCGTACTACAAAAGCTTGCGCAAAGTACTTCCCGGTACTACTCTGTATGACAAAGCTTGCACAAAGTACTTCCCAGTACTACTTTGTACTACCAAGCTTGTGCAAAGTGCTTCTCGGTACTTCTTCGTATGACAAAGCTTGCACAAAGCACTTCCCAGTACTACTTCGTACTACAAAGCTTACACAAAGTGCTTCCCAGTACTTCTTCGCACTAGAATCTTGCTTGAAAGGTTGCACAAACTACTTCTCCCAATACAACTTCGTACCACAAAGCTTGCACAAAGTACTTCACAGTACTACTTCGTACTACAAGACTTGCACGACCTACTTCCCAGTACTACTTCGTACCACAAAGCTTGCACAAAGTACTTCCCAGTGCTACTTTGTACTACTAAGCTTGCACAACGTACTTCCCAGTACCACTTCGCACTACAAAGCTGGCACAAAGTACTTCCCAGTACTAGATCGTCCGACAAAGCTTGCGCAAAGTACTTCCCAGTACTACTTCGTACTACAAGACTTGCACGACCTACTTCCCAGTACTAGATCGTCCGACAAAGCTTGCGCAAAGTACTTCCCAGTACTACTTCGTACTACAAGACTTGCACGACCTACTTCCCAGCACTACTTCGTACCACAAAGCTTGCACAAACTCCTTCCCAGTACTACTTCGTACGACAAAGCTTGCACAACGTACTTCCCAGTACTACTTCGTACTACAATGCTTGCACAATGTACTTCACGGTACTACTTCGTACTACAAAAGCTTGCACAAAGTACTTCCCAGTACTACTTCGTACGACAAAGCTTGCACAAAGTCTTTCCCAATAGTACTTCGTACAACAAAGCTCGCACAAAGTACTTCCCAGTACTACTTCTTGTCGCCGGGACGAACTTTGTGCAAGAAAACGCGGGGTTTCGTGCCATTCGTACTCTCCCTTCACATCCCTCCTCTCTTCACATCTCTACTCTACTCTCTTCGCTTCTTTTCTCTGCAAATCTCCCCCCTCTCTTTACTTATCTACACTCTGCACATCTCTGCTCTCTTCAGACCCCTACTCTCTTCACATCTTCACTTCTCTACTCTCTGCACATCTCTACTCTCTGCACATCCCTACTCTCTTCACATCGCTGCTCTCTTCACTTCTCAACTCTACTCTCTGCTCACATCTCTCCTCTCTTCACACATCTCTACCCAGGGATGTGAAGAGGGTAGGCTCTACCATCCCTACTTTCTTCATTTCTCTACTCTCTTCACTTCTCTACCCTCTGCAACTCTCTACTATTTCTTCACACCCCTACTCTCTTCACCTCTCTACTCTCTGCACATATCTCCGCTCTCGTCACACATCTCTACTCTCTTCACATCCCTACTCCCGTCACACATCTCTACTATCTTTATGTCCATACTGACACCTCTACTCTCTTTACATCCCTACTCTCTTTTCACATCTCTACTCTCTTCACACCCCCACCCTCCTGTACTCTCTTCACATCCCTACTCTTTTCACGCATCTCTACTCTCTTTACATCGCTACTCTCTTCACTTCTCTACCCTCCGCACATCTCTACTCTCTTCACATCCCTATTCTCTGCACATCGCTACTCTCTTCACATCCCTACTATTTTCACACATCGCTACTCTCTTCACATCCCCGTTCTTTTCACACATCTCTGCTCCCTCCACACTCCTACTCTGTTCGCCCCTTTTTTTGTCCTCTTGACTCTTGACCGTATTTTCTGCATCATGGAGTTTGGACATCTAAACTTCCTTTGACAAGTATGTATTTATATATAATAAATATACATGTGTGTGTGTATTGAAACGGATAGATAGACTGTATAGATGCACGAAGATCTTCGCAACGGAAGCCAAACTGAGACAAAGCTGGGCCAAGCTGCTCCAACAGCTTGAAACGTTCCATGGCCAAGGCAAAATCTTTCTTGGAGAACACACCGCCCAACTTCTTGTGGAGCCGCTGACGGATCCGCCTGGCGATCAAAATTATCAAGAAACAAGGCAAAAGAAGGCAAGATAAGGCAAGTGCTCAACATTGCTCAACATTGCTCAACATTGCTCAATTTTGCCCAACCTTGCACAACATTGCTCAACGCACATGCCACCAGCATGCCACCATGGAATGTATGCCACAAAAGGAAGGAATGAACTCAAATGAACTCAGCACATCTTCGTTTAATATCTTAACGGCTGTTGCCGTGGTCTTTGGCGCTAGAAACGCCTGAATATACCGTCATCAAAATCGCCTACAAATCCTAGAATTGACGTTACAGATTCGTTATTTTCATTAAGATCCCATCCTCGTTCCAGTCTGGTCATGGCACATCCACGTCACTGCCATTCCTCATTCATTGTTCCTCATTATCAGCAACGTCGAAAATTGTGGGATATTGATGGATATTCTCCGATCTAGTGGGGTCATCATGGATCATCTAGCAAATTCATGACAACACATGGCAATCCCAGTTCCCCGCATGTCACCTCTTCAAAGTGGTAGTGGACGCTGCTTTACTGGCAGCTGCAGCTGTCTGTAGCATCTCAGCTGACGAGGACATTGACAGGCACGCAGTCTTGTTCTGTGAATATCTCTGTGAATTGGTTAACTGAACTGGAAGCTCTCAAACTATATACACTCATTGATTCATAATGTGAAATAAAGAATCGTTTGTAACCATGCATTTCTGCATGGAATGCTGTCCTCAATAAATGTGTAACCATGCATTTTAGACATTTAAAACAAATGAAACACAATAACTGGGGCGTAGGCCCGTGTAGGCCCGTGCAGCCGTAAACTCAAACGTTTCAAACGTTTCAGCCCGGGCACTTCTTCCAGCTTGAGTTTCTTTTCTTGGACATTGCGCCGGCGAGCCTCTGCCTTTGATCCTGGCCCACTGTTCACATCAGTTCACTAGTGACATCTAATGACTACGTGTTCACTTTGTTCATTTTGTTCACTTTACTTCACAATCGTTCACTAGATTCGCTAGATTCGCTTATCAATGTTGCTTGTGACTTTTGTGACTTATACTTACTTTATCTTACTTGAATGATCTTTATGATTCACTTCAACAGTGCAACGCCCCTCTCTCTCTCTCAGAATGAAAATCAGAGGAAAAGGATCGGACGCGGATCCGACGAGGACCGACTTTGACTGAAGTTCAGTAATATTCAGTAAGACATGGAAACACCATGAAACACTGAGGTAGCGCAGCGCAAGCCTCCAGATTCGGTCTGAGATGAGGGAGATGAGGAAATGGTCTCGGTGGTCTGATTAGTCTCAGGCTTAAAAAAGGTCATGGCTGACGCTGTGGACGAGCTGCAAGAAAATGCTAAGTTGAGCTTGAGCCGTTTTCTGGGCAATTGCAGAATGCTGGCACGGTGCTGGAACGGTGATCTGATGCCGCATTCGAAGGCACTTTGCAAATCACATGCTGGGACAACACTGTCGCAGGATGCTGTCCTCATGACCCTATAATTTTGAATCTCATGCACACACATCGATCTATCTATTTATCTATCTGTCTGTCTGTCGGTCGGTCTGTCTGTCTGTCTACCTATCAAAGGAAGTTTAGCTGGAAAACTTTAGAGTTACGGACGATTGTCATGGTCAGCATTTCCATCATCATGTCAACCACCAATCATCAAGTAGTTGTGAATTGTAACAGTTAGGGAACGCGTGAATTCAAGGGTGAGCAAAAAAACTCTCGGGCGCCAATCCTTGTGTTTTTCCCGATAGTGTCTGTGGAGGTCTGCTATACATCTTCACATCTTCACGATTTCGTACCTAAACATACTCACATCTTCATCTTCATCTTCTCTCTCTCTCTCTCTCTTGCCCCCTGTCACCGTCTCTCTCCTTCTTTTTCTTTTCTCTCTTAAGGCCGCAGGCAGTGCGGACGAGGCGCCACGATATGGCCACCATTCCGCACGAAATGAGGTTCCAGTGTCAAAAACTGATGGTTTTTACATCCTCGGTGGCAACTCTTTCGCACGACGGCGGCAGCCCTTTCGCACGAAATGAGGTTCGAGCGTCAAAAACTGTAGGTGGCAGCAACCCTTCCGTGCGAAAGGATGTCCGAGTTTCAAAAATCAGGTGTTTGTGCGATTTCATTCCTGCGTCGGCAACCTTCGCACGAAATGAGGCTCGAGTGTCAAAAACTGTTGTGTGAGTAAAAGTGTCTGTGTGTAAAAGTGTCTGTGTGATAATAAAGGAGCCTGTGTGTGTGAAAGCGTCTGTGTGTAAAGGCATCTGTGTGTAAATCGTTTGTGTGAAAAAGGGTGTGTCTGTAGAAGCGTGTGTGTGTGTGCAAAAGCGTTTGTGCGTAAAGGGTTATGTGTGTGAAAGTGTTTGTGTGTGAAAGCGTCTGTGTGTAAAAGTGTCTGTGTGTAAAAGTGTTTGTGTGTGTAAAAGCGTTTGTGTGTAAAAGCGTCTGCGTTTAAACGTGTTTGTGTGTAAAAGGGTCTGTGTGTCAAAGCGCCTGTGTGTAAAAGCGGTTGTGTGTAAAAGTGTTTATGTGGTAAAGGATCTGCGTGTAAAAGTGTTTGTGTGTAACAGTGTGTGTGTGTGTAAAAGCGTCTGCGTTTAAACGTGTTTGTGTGTAAAAGGGTCTGTGTGTTAAAGCGTCTGTGTGTAAAAGCGATTGTGTGTAAAAGCGTCTGTGCGTAAAAGCGGTTGTGTGCGAAAGGGTCTTTGTGTAAAATGTGGAAAAGTGTCTGTGTGTAAAAGTGTTTGTGTGTAAACGTGTTTGTGTGTGTAAAAGTGTTTGTGTGTAAAAGCGTCTGCGTTTAAACGTGTTTGTGTGTAAAAGGGTCTGTGTGTCAAAGCGCCTGTGTGTAAAAGCGGTTGTGTGTAAAAGTGTTTATGTGGTAAAGGATCTGCGTGTAAAAGTGTTTGTGTGTAACAGTGTGTGTGTGTAAAAGCGTCTGCGTTTAAACGTGTTTGTGTGTAAAAGGGTGTGTGTGTTAAAGCGTCTGTGTAAAAGCGATTGTGTGTAAAAGTGTCTGTGCGTAAAAGTGGTTGTGTGCGAAAGGGTCTTTGTGTAAAATGTGTAAAAGCGTCTGTGTGTAAAAGTGTTTGTGTGTAAACGTGTTTGTGTGTAAAAGCGTCCCTGTGTAAAAGCGTTTGTGTCTTCTTGGCTGCCGGGATAATTGGGATGTTTACACCAGACTCGCGCCCTGGCTGGTATGTTTGTGTCAAAACTGAGGGTTTGTGTGTAAAAGCGTCTGTGAGTAAAAGTGTCTGTGTGTAAAAGTGCCTGTGAATAAAGGAGCCTGTGTGTGAAAGCGTCTGTGTGTAAAAGCGTCTGTGTGTAAAGGCGTCTGTGTGTGTAATGGCATCTGTGTGTGTGTGTAAAGACATCTGTGTGTAAAAGCGTCTTGTGTAAAAGCGTCTGTGTGTAAAAGCGTGTGTAAAGGGGCCTGTGTGTAAAGGCATCTGTGTGTAGAAGCGTCTGCGCGTAAAAGCGTCTATGTGTAAAAGCGTCTTTGCATGTAAAAGTGTTTGCACGTAAAACGTCTGTATGTAAAAGCGTATGTGTGTGTGATACTGATACAGTCTTTGTGTAAGAGCTGTTGTGTGTAAGGCATGTATGTATGTATGTATGTATGTATGAGCATGTTTGTATGTAAACATGTCCGTCTCAATTCTTCTTCCTGCGTCTCCTTCATCTTTCTTTTTTCTCCTTCAGTCAATGTCTTCATATGACATATGTGCCTACTTTTTCTCCTTCAATTTCTTCATCACGCGCACCTACTTTTCACAAGTTGTCTGCACCATGTCTCTTCATGTAAGGCATCATCATTCATGTTTCATGCTATAAGATCTTCATACTTATACCTCTCACTATCCTCCTCTACGCTCTCAGGCCATCCGTCGTCTAGTTTCTCTGCTTCCCCCATTGCGGGATTCGATCTTCGGAGCCACCCCGCGCTGTAATGGCTGCGCGAATGGTGGCTGATTTGGTGTGACCTTCCTGCTATGCAGGTTTGCAACCGGCTGTGACAAAACGCATTGGCACGGCTGCACGCAGCAAAGCATATGACGCTCCTGGTCCGGTCAGCGGCCGGGATTGCAGCTGGATGTTGCGAAACGCATCGTAACAGCTGCTAGAAGAGAAGGAGCGAGGTGAAGAAGCACAAGTAGCGCAGCAAAGAAGCTGTTCAGATAAGAGGCCACTTAGAGAACGAATAGTTTCCTGAACTAGTTGGGAAGTGCAACTCAGGCACGAAACCCTGTGTTTTTTCTCTGTTTCCCCGGTTGCAGGACTCGATCTTCCGAGCAGCCCCGCACTGTAGTGGCCGCGCGGATGGTGGTCGATTTGATGTGGCCTTTCTGCTATGCCATGCGGGTTTGCAACCGGCTGTCACAAACCCAGGGACACAGCTGCGCGCGCAGCAAAGCGGGATTGCAGCTGGGGGCTTCTAAATGCAGTGTGACAGCGGCACGAAGAGAAGAATTGGGTTGCAGAAGCTACAAAAAGGGCTAGCTGTGGGAGGCAGCTCAGAGCACAAGTAGCCCAGACAAGTGGCTGCTCAGAGAAGAAGTGGCTGAGAGAAGAGGTGCCTCAGCGAAAAGGGCGCTCAGTGAAGAAGAAGCTCAACGAAGAAAAGTAGCTCACCCATCCATCCATTCGTTCATTCGTCCATCCATCCATCCCTTCCTTCATTGGCTCATTGATTCATGGGGTTCATTGATTCACTGATTCCCTGAATCAGAGAGCTCACTCTTCACTCAGTCATTGCTTCGTTGATTCATTGAATCACAAGTTCAGGACAGGCACTCACTTGCGCACTGGAAATTTCACTCACGTGCGCGCCTTCACTCACTTGCGCACTGAGTGACATAAATTTCACTCACTTGCGCGCTGACACAGCTAACAATCAGCCAACTCCCTTGTGGTGTGGTGTGGGGTGGGGTGGGGTGGGATGTTAACAACGTCCTTTCGCATGCGCACCAGAATGGAGACGTTCACTGACACTTGCACAAGATGATGACGTTCAGTCACAATGACTTGCACTCATACTCAGCAACACGCGCATCTGAGGTGGGGTGGGGGTGGGATGCTAAAGCACCTTCACACAGAATGGCGACGATCACTGACACGTGCACAAGATAATGACGTTTAGCCACAATGACTTGCACTCATATTGCCATGCAAAAGTATAATGTAAGAAGACGAAAGCCTCAAGCCTGCCACATGCCAGCAAGGCAGCAAGTACAAAATGCAAGGCGTGCATTTAGGTTTCGGCAAATGGCGCACAGCAGATACAATGCCCGCTTTCACTCCCACTCCTTCCTCACATGCAAAGAAAACGCACCTGCCACGCAAAATATTGATCTGTAATGATCTGTGTTGCTTCATGTCTTAGCCCAAAGCAAATCCAGCGCACAAGCGATGGAAAAACCCAGTGCACAAGCGCGTCCTCGCCCCAAGTTCACTCGCGCGTTGGTTCGTTAATTCATTGATTCATCGATTTACTGAGTCACCGGTTCACTGAGTCATTGAATCACTAAATTGTTTTATTGATTCATCTGCTCATTGCTCCATTGATTCAC